CCAAAAAAAAAAAAAAAAATGCCCGTCTGGAGCCGTAGCCTCCTATGATACTACTGGATAGGAAATCCTTCCGTCTTCGTGAGCCGATGGAGTAGTTATTGACACTTAATCAAATGGCTTACGAGGCCAATCTTGGAACAGTGTCTTGGCTGCATTTCTCGCAGGAGAGCCTTGACTTCTGGTTACATTTGGCATTCCATAATGCTCTTTTTGTTGCAATGGCTTCGTTTCGCGCATCGTCTGCCCCTTTTGACTCCTTCATACACTACTGTTCGCCAGCTGGAACTGTGCTCAGCGATGAACTTCCATTCGTTGATTTCTATATTGTCTTCCCTCGTGCTCCTTTTTTTTTTAAGCGCCCTTATATCGTGGCCATCCTAATAAGTCTTGCCCCTTCTGCCAAGTCTCCATACATCACTGTCATCAGATCCTTTGGAATACGGCCTGCGGTACTATGAGCTTCATATTTAATATATACATATTTGAACTTATTTTAAGTAATGCAACGGGTTTTACAAATGTCATGATTTGATGTCTATAATTAATATAAAATTCAATTTTTGTTTCTATTCTATGAATTTCCCAAACATGTATGCTTTTTAATATTTTAAAAATTCTACTAAAAATTCTTATGAAAGTTTAAGAAAACCCCTTGCCGACGACCCTCACAACGAAGAGCGTCAAAATGGCGGCCTCCTGCTATGGAACATTTGGCCTGTGGAAACATCAATATTCTTCATATCAAAACGAAGGATTTTCAAGACCAGACTCAGAAATGGTGTGGGTGACTCAAAGATATAATCCACTTGGTTTGTTATTTATCATTAACATACTACGTATTGTAATAATTGTAACATGCTTTTTAACCTTTGACTTTGACGGAAATGATGGATATAATATTATTAAGAAGTTTTGGCCATGCCTTGCCTTGCATGAGGTTGAGTTTACCCTAGTTCAGGGGTCGGTTGGCTCTTTGAGGGAACAGATAGGTTGCATGCTGCTCCCAAAATATTTTCTTAACAGATATAATATATATAATTTATATATAATTATATAACTTATAAAAACATTCTCCTAACTCAAAGGATATTGTTGCCAACCACTGCTCTAGCTATTAATCATTATATACAATTACAAAAATAAATAAATATGAAATTAATTTTAATATTACCAACCATGGTCATATAAATAAATTAAAATTTGAATTCACATTTCAATTTTAATATATATATATATATACTTATTTATATATAATTTTAATATATATATATAATATACTGATATACTATTGATATTAATATCCCCCATATCCACTAATATCACACACATAATTATATATGGTGCTAGATGGCTAAATGTTTTAAAATAAGTGAATCTTGAGCTTTAATTTCCACAATACCCACCAAAGACCCAGTCAAGCTAAATATCACAAGCAACACGAGTGGTTAAGACCCATTAAGTTTGGATGGCAACTTATCTAAGTGAAGAAAAACTCTGAATTAAAACTGTAAGCAGATATTATGGACACAATGAAAAATGTTGACAAATTCTGTGACACTACTGATGTCAAGTCGTATCATCCACACATGAGTTCCCTTGGGTTATACAGGTGCACGTAGAGAGTCGATTTGATGTCTAGGGAACCAGTTTATACTCCTAAAAAGAAAAATCCCAGGCATTGTGATTTCATCCACACAATCGTCACATTGTGATGGACGGATGCCAGAAAAAAATATGTATAAATGTTTGTGTGAGTGCTTAACTTATTTATTTATTTTATTAAAATCAGATGAGCGTGTGAGAGCCCCTGTTCCCCGCCATAAACTTTTTGTGCCACGTACCACTCCACTGCCTGAATCAGAAAGATACTGGATTCCTAAAAGTACCACTTCTCCAACAACTTTTGGGAATGCTCACAGATCAAATTTTATGTTTGTCTCCCACCCAGGTTTGTTAAAATTGGCTATGAAAAAAATAACATTTAAAAAAAAAAAACAAAGAAAGTGAAATTCCATACTATTTTTTAAATATTTGTTAAAAAACTTATACTATTAATATTTTAGTGGCAAAATAAAGCAGCTCGTTTTCTGTGGCTTACTTAAATGTTTAGATAATTTTGTTCTAAAACAATGTATTAATTTTAAAAAAAATTGTTACTACTAGCAGAGAATGTTATAATTTTACTGATAATAATTTATGAGGGAAAATTTTTAGGTGAAATTCCTTTCTTGTCACCTTTGTAATTAATGAATTAAGAATTGTAAATTAATCATATTCCTTTATTACTCTGCTAGCCACAAGGTGTGAAGATTATTCAACTTTACGCCAAATGCTTCCGACTTACAGTAACATTGTAAGAGTGGATCAGGCCAAGTGGGGAGTTTCTGGTAGTATGACTGAAAGGCAAACAGCCAGAATGCCATTACGATTCCCTCATGTGAATGGCTGCTTTACAAAGTAAGTGGGGGATGGCTGATATTAGCTATTAAAATATAACATACTCTGTTGCATGGCTTACATAAGAAAATGTTTTATCTTTTACTGATTTAATTGATCATTTGTGGAGCAGGGAGGAGGTGAGGGATACTTTAACTGGCAATGGGTAAAATTTGAAAGGCTCTAAGTCTAAGGAAAGATGGACAACAAATTTTCAATTAACCGTGAATAATTTCCATTTAATCATTACATCTCACAGCAGCCCATGCATGACACACTGTTGTGTTAGTTTTTGAATTCTGCATCTATTACTTGCACTAGCTATACAGTGATGAGTCCATGGGAGTCAACTGGAGAGACTGTTACATTTTATGAATTACATTAACAGCTGCTTACAGGGGAGGATTTTTTAGTATAAGGATTCTACATTTTTTAATATTATAATTTTTAAAAATCATCTATGAACAACCTCGAAACTGATTTCTGCATTTCAATTCATCCCTGCATTAAACTGCCTATGTAAGTCTTTTTTTATTTGTTAAGCTATTTATGCATTAGATTAGCTTAATTATTCACGTTTTACTTGATATTTTTAGTTTAATATCTTTCCATCTGCAGATTTATTGATGAAGGAAACAGAATACACCAAGGATTTAAGCTCTGCTAGCTATGAAATAAACATCTGAAAATGGAATTCTCCATCTTGCCCCCCCCAAAAAACCAACAAAAAAAAAAAAAAAAAAATTAAAGGTAATTTTGCCCCCCCCCCCCCCCCCACTATTTTAAGTTATTTACCCATCTTATAACTGATATATGAAAAGAAATCTCATGCAAATTACTTCACTGAAATGATAATAAATAGATCATGTCCTTTCCTTTTTTACTATCTACTATTACAATTCTATAAGTTATAATTATGCTCCATAAATTACTGAAATTGTTGATAAAATTTAGTTGAAAATTGAATAAAGATTAAAATAATAAATTTTCTTATTCACAAGGCCTAATCAAGTATAAAATTCATAAATAAGTTATGCTGTTTAGTGTTTTGCCATTTCATGATATGTAATTACATAAAGTTTATGTTTATGATAAACAGTATTTGTCAGTATAAAAAATGGTCAAGCAGCTTAAGACTGCTTAAATTAATTATGCAAAAGAGTTTATATTTTAATTATTTTTATTGATTTATTGAGTTCAATGCTCCATAATAGATTTAGAAGAATACAATGAAATTAACATGTACAAAATTAATTTTTAAACTATAATTATGTTTAAAAGAGCAGTTTGTAAGTTTTTAATTTTTTTAACTTAATACCATATCCTATTCATGTAATTGCCTCTTTTTTATAGTAAATTTTAGAAATTGTACATTAGCTTTTACACCCTTTCAGTATTATTATCCAAGTGCAGTGTTGAATGATACAAAAGTAACAGCATTACTATTTATTGATATTAATTTACTGTAAACGCTACCTAAGTATTATTTTCACATTTCATTCTACAGTAATAATTTTTTCTATAACAAAATAATAATCTTGATTTTTAAAACCTACAGAAATGTCTAATAAAGATTTTATTTTGTTCACATTCATGAAACATTTCTTATAAAATTACAATATATCATAGCTAATGAAAGTTGAGATTTGAGAGTGGATTCAGTTTTCTATAATTATTGACAAGTGACCAAGTGTGCCGAGAAAGTCACAGTTATTTAAAAAAAAGAATTTTAATATTTTTTAAAATAAAATATATATACCGGTATATATAACGAAAAATAAAGATTAAAATAAAAAATTTACAGGAAACTCCAAGCTTGAATAAAGTGTTTTAAGTTAAATTCAAAGTTATTTTTGTACTCACTTTAATATAAAATAAAAATAACTGTGTATAAATTAATTTAATTTTTTTTAAAATGAAGTGATAAGATAGGTGACCGAATGGCTATTTGCTAGAACACAAATTTAAAAAAAATATTTTTCTCATGTTGTCAAGGTTTGTGGTTTGCTTGACCCTCTTTTTTCAGTAAAGAATTTCTTGAAAATTAACACCTGCCCGCATCCAGTCAGAACGATGACAATGGACTGACCAAATGACCACCACATGACCCTTTTGTTTAGGTTTTCAGCGATGTAGCGCCCCATCGACTCCCTGACCATGTATTTCATTTGGAAGTCCATCACTGTGGTCATCAGAAAGTGGATGTTGTCGCAAAAGGCCTCAAGGGCGGTCTTGACCTTGGGGAGGTTTGCACTTTTGTTTAAACCAGCTTCCTCAGACAGAGATGCCTCTTCAAATGGCCGAATGTTAAAGGCAATGCGCTTGCTGGTGACCTGTGAGAATTCATTGCTGAAATAAAAATAAATACTCAAATTGAAACGTCCTAGCTGTGGTGAAATATGCTGTTACACATAGAAAAGGGAGCCTCATGGGCCAAGTGCGGCTTTGAGATATATGTATGTCCGGCAGGGAAGTTCTTTTACAGCCTACGCCTAGAATAATAAACTATTAACACCCGCCCCCCCCCCGTCCTATTTAAACCAAAACAGGGCCGTATACCTACTAGGGTATCCTGGGATCTTAAAATTCTTTACGCAAAGGAAGTCTGTGAAGAGAATATTTTTTTAAAAATTAGGAAAAATTTATTAAAGTTTCTTCTACATTTTATTCGATTATTTGGCTTTATAGAGTGTCTTACTACCCTTCTGCCTTCTGCGCATCCTTAATTTGTGTCATGAAGTTTAGGAAAACTGCTTTCATCATTTCAATGTGTTTAAACTCATCTACGGGAAAAAAGTATTTAAAAAAAAAAAAAAAAGAGATTTGTAATTTTGTTTCCAATATAATGTTATTTGTTATATATCAAATCTCATGATTGAATTTTAGGAAAACTGCTTTCATTATTTCAATGTGTTTAAACTCATCTACGGGAAAAAAGTATTTAAAAAAAAAAAAAAAAAGAGATTTGTAATTTTGTTTCCAATATAATGTTATTTGTTATATATCAAATCTCATGATTGAAATTGCAACTCAAACTTTTCAAGGCACCATTTTAAAAAGAAAACTATTTAAAAATCATTTAATCTCTTAGTCCTAACATTTCAGCTGGCGACCCCACATAAATCCCGTTTTTTCCGGGAGAAGCAAAATCCCGGGCAATAAAGAACACTAATACCAAAGCAAGACACTAAACCAAAATTCAGAAAACTTTGAGTAATATTGTATGCTAAAGTAAGATTTCTAATTCATGCAGCGTTCCAACAAACTATATGTCTACCTACTCAACGATATTTTAAGACATTTTTTTTTTTTTTTGGTCTTCGGCATGCCATTGTGTCATGTCTGGCGAAGTATCTAAAGGTCGCCAACATCTGTCATTTACCATCACAGAAACATTTACTAACAGAAGACGTATCGAAACCAACCCAATCGTTTAAATTCAAAAGGTTAACAAAGACCATATCGATACCAACCCAATCTTTTACATTCACGGGACTAACAAAGTCAAAAATCAGAAAGCGAAATCCATTTTATTTTTAAAATTATTTTGACTCTGACAAACATTCCGTGTTAGCTACTTTAACGACGATTAAACTGTTAGGGATTATTTCCCCATACAAAAGTTAACTTGGGTGTCATTTAAATACATCGGAGCAGGCCTTTTCATACAAAATAATTGTAAACATTGTAAGAAAGTGTTTGAATAAGCCCTGGGGGAAAAAAAGGGGGGGGGGACCTGTTACACACGATTGTAAGAATGAGCTTACCTAAAGCAGAACTTGAAGTCACCGTTCTGAGCATTGAAAGATACCTCGTCGCCTTTGCTCTTCAGCTCCTTGTAGATGACGAGACCATTAGGGGAGATGATCCTCGTGTCAATGTCCTGATTGCCTCCCGCGATGACTCTGTATTCGAAGATGACCTTGATGCTCTGGGTGAAGATTTTTGAGAAGCACGTCTTCTCCTGACTTGGAACGATGATGATGTAAGCCTCCCGTTTAATGTACGACTCGCACATGCAGACACAGAAGCCAAATAACACCAATAGTTTTGACAGCATTTCAACTATTGAAATAAAACCCCAAAATATATATTTATATTAAATTTAAGTTAAAAATAACACGTATCAAATTTGAATTAAATACGAACTCGCTTTAAAAAAAAAAACCCACAAGATTCTTTCCGTTAAAAAATATTGCGAATCATCGTCTGTTTGACCGATCAGTTTTTAATATAGGACGCTTCGAAACCTTGATTTTTCAACATTGCCGGAGACACGTAACCACCTTAGTTGTTGGCACGGTTTGATAGCACACGCACCCCCACACCCCTCCCCCCCCCCCCGACTGAGGACGTTGAAACAGTGGCAAGCATTGATTTGTTCAATGTTATTTAAATCGGACTGCAAGAAAGCCCTCCCTACGTCGGATGATAAAGCTGTAACATATGTGGGGAAAATGTTAACGATTTTTAAAATAATCCTTAAGGACGGCACGTGCCAACTTCTCGAGCACAAGAAGGACACAAAAAAAACCAACAAAAAAACACACCCACACACAAACACTTGCACATTGTTCAGTTTTGGGTACACGGTCGCTGTTAAAGCATCTGGGAGCAAACTTTCTTGCTTCATACACCGTTTTGTTTGGGGGATATAACATAACCTTCCGATTTTAGTGGTTTATTTAAAAGTTCATTTTTATACATTTCAGTTGTATTATGGCCACTGTCTCCCACCCTTTGTGGCGCAACTTGGTAAATAATAACTTATAATATGTTAGTTGAGGTGTGAGGGGGAGCACAACAACATCGTTAATAACGCCAGACACGGCATTGCTATGACCGGGTAATAAGGGGAGAGACTGCAATTATGTTAGCAAAACTTAGCAAAATAAGATACGAGTAAAAAAAAAAGTAAGGTCAAACCTTTAAAAAAAAGGAACGCAAAAAATGAACGTGTCGGCAAGAAGCCTTCGTCAGCGAACAAGCAACAGAAAAAAAACATAATATATTTAAAAATAGCACTTAGCTTAGTGTAGTAGTAGTGTCCGAAAGGGCAGAAAAAGAATTGTCATTTCTATGATAGCATGGCATCACGAGCCTCAGGCACTATTTTGTTAGATTGTCAGTGTCAATTCAAGCCCCATAATATAACGTATTTTGATAGAGTGGATTTTGGCCTGTTGTTCAAGTTCATCACAATCTTTTCGAAATTCGTCTTTATAATAACCTCAAATGAACTTTATCAAGCTTCACAAATACTCCCTAACAGATCTGATTTTTTTAATACTTTTGAAGGACTTCATGAAAATAGCGAAATACACGGGACCAAATTTGTGACGAAGACAGTAATTACTGTTTTCATTTATACAAGAGTATGAAGATGAAAGGCGTATTAATATGTGATAGTGCTGTAGGCTCAACGCCCCTTGAATTTGCATCCCAACAGGGCCAGTATGGGGGGGGGGGCTTGGACTAGTTAAATTTAATGGGGCCTTAGTCGTCATAAAACCCCTGACCGGGGTCCACCCCGGGTGGCACTTTTTTCTTTATATAAAAGAATGACGTTTTTGGTAAGCTGCGGATTTCTTCGTGGTAAGGTGGGGCGGGGGGGGGGGGTATCAAAATATTGGCTCGCCCAGGGTGGGGTTAACCCAGACTATGACCCCCGCAGATAGAATATCGAGACGTGACCAATGGTGACAATCCGTCGCCTGACTCTGTCGCGTCTCGATATTGGCTCGCCCAGGGTGGGGTTAACCCAGACTATGACCCCGGCAGATAGAATATCGAGACGCGACAGAGTCAGGCGACGGATTGTCACCATTGGTCATACCCGGGTATTTATTCCATGGCATAGTTTCCGAATTCGTATATATTTTTAGTGTAACATTTGAATCGCAATGAGACAAATCGAGGCCTGGTTGTTGCTATTCTCATGGTTGTATTAAATTAAGTGAGTAAGCAGGCGCTTGGATTCCTTCTGCACATATAATTTTTAATTTTTTTTTTTGCTGCACACCATTGGATCAACCAGTCATATTGGCAGCATTTTATTGTGACTTCCCGCGGCATCTGATTGATGTTAAGCTCATTAAGTGGTCGTCCATAAAGTACGTCACGTTCAGGAGAGTTGGAGGGGTGGGGTCTAATAAAGTGTGACAACTAGTGACATGGTGGCGGGGGAAGTGGCTATATCATATGTGACGTCACACATTTATATATTTTTTATCATTCATATAATAGTATTAATAGGCTAACTGAAAAAAAGTGACAGTGATGTTTAATTGTCTGGATATGTTCTGACAGAAGATGTCACATATCATTTTCATAGTGAAGTGTGTTTTAGACTGAATTTTAATTAGCTGTTAATTTAAAAAAATAAAAAAATTATGAAGTGTGACGTAGGCCTACTTTTTAAAAAAAAGGGGGGGGGTAGTTATCCGAGATATGTGACAGATTGTGACAGGGGGAGGGGGGAAAATTGTTAATAACAGCGTGACGTACGTTATGGATGGTCCCTAATGATATAATTAAATTAAACACGAAATAATCCTTGCCTTATCCAGCATGATCTGTTAGTAACCATTTCTTTTGATGTAACCCATGTAACAGCATTGCAGTTGAATTACTATATTTAAGTTGAACAATTTCTGATTGATTTTGTAAATGGTTTCTATACGGTTAACTATGCACTAAAATATAGGACTACTAATTGTAATAAAATTACTCTTTGTTACTTGTACTTCTACCAAAGTAATCATTTTAGTTTTCAAAACGTCATATTTTGCATTCATTCACGTGATGTTTAGGTCTATCCAACATCCCCCGAGGCCACTAATGAGGGCATATAAAAAACAACAACTATTTTTACAACAAAAATGTATTTTTTGAAAAAATAAAGACCACATTAATTTACCACAATAAGATATGGGAATTCATGCAGCTTGTTTTCAAGGAATGATAAAATGCGAAAACAGTTGTGATCTGCTCCATACACGATTATTTCCCCTTCTCGCGCGTGCAGGTGCTGCTGCCTAACCAATGAGCTCTTCAAGTATTGATTTTTCCGTTAATCTATTCAACATGGAGCCTGGGCCCTCTTTTCCCTATCCAAAGCCAAATTAGCAATTGCCATTGTTTTTAAGTCTGCAGTATTTGTGCCACAACGATGTGTACCGTATTTACTTGGATTCGTTTTTGTTTTCACAGCTAATTCGCAGTGAAGGAGATTATCATGGAATAGCTTCAGGAATACGCTCGACGAGGAAAGATGTTTAGATATTCCACCGTCTCCATAAGCCTAGCCTAATAACCCGAAACAGTAGTGAGTAGGCTCGGCGGTTGGGAGCTGCCAGAGTGCTTCCAGCCTGCCAGTGGCCAGAGGAGTACCACTGATTCACCACAGGAATTTGCATGAGAAATGGATGTCTTCTCACTCTGACCAGGCAGTAATATTCGTAGTCAAGAGCTAGGCTTATACTTATATACTTATGGTTATGTTTGTTGTAGTTGAAAAAAACCAAAACAAGCGTTAAGTACAGTTAGGTGTGTGATTATACAGACAGACCGAGGCTTAAAAATGGTTTACCCACGGGCCTAGTGCAGGAATCAAGCTTTCTCAGGATATATAGGCCTACATGTTGTGAGCGTCAGGGGAGTAGGTCCTATTTTTGTGATCTGGCCATTTCATGGTGAATTCCCAGGACGTTCAATGGCGTTAGAAGAAAGTCATTGGCTTAGTAGGGTAACTGGGTAAGCTAATGACTAATAGTCTGATATAAAAAATCATGGGTATAAGGTATAAGTAAGAAATAGTTACTTCGTAACTTTGAACCAAAAGGCATTATTTAAAAAAAATTTTTTTGTTTCATACTCATAGTCATACCCCTATCAGATTCAGATCATTATTTCTCATGTCATACCCTGGACACTGTAAGATAAGTAGAAAAAGTCACTAACTCGTTCTAGAGTCACTGAAATTTAATTAACCATAAATAATTTCTGTGTAGATAACGCATTCACAATCTTGTCTTAATATTTTTAAATAACTAGTCAGTAGCTTTAATTAAATGTTGTCTTCATAGTAATTATGGCATTGGCCTTAGACTAAGATTTAAACAAGTAAAAGTTTACTACTTAGCCTTAGTACTTAGTCCTTAGCCTATTTTCAACTTGTTGATTTATTGGATGAATAATTGCTGAGTTATAAATCAAAATTCATGTTGCCATTAAGTTAAGTTCATTAACCAATAGAAAAAGGAATTTATATATAAATTGATTTATCACAATACAGCAGTTTAGTTGAAGAGATCACTATTGTCAATTGTAACTTGTACGATAGTCAATAAAGTTTATACAGTTTTTAGATTGCTTAAGAAATTATTCATTTAAAGTTAAGAACCTAAAAAAGTTCTAGATTTGATGTCATAGAACCAACTACAGGTATATTTTAAAGAAAAATTAATTGATATTATTAAAATTCTTTCCTGAAATAATAAATAGATAAGCCTGCATTTTGTATTTTGTTTTAAAAAACATGATAGTTTCATATATGATCATTTTATTTTAGGGGACAAAGCATCACTGATTATCTTGCCCTATACCAGTATTATATTAAATTCTGAAATTTTAAACTTAAACACTTAGAAAAACAAAATAAATAAATGAATGTTGTCATCAATGTTCCCTCTAAGGTTTGCTGGTTCGTGTGCAAAATCATACAGTTGTGTGCAAAGTTTAACAGCATCAATTTTTTTTGTGTGCAAAATTTTACAGCCCACAAACATAAACACACACTTACATGGAAATTTGCTGCGTGGATACTCAAAACCGCTATGTGGCGTCTGTGATATAGCTGCGCTGGCGCGCAGCTTAAAGGGAACATTGGTTGTCATTTTGGAAAAAAATAAATTTTCAGAACAGTAACAGTTTTGCATTATTTAAAATTTTCATTGTTAAATATTTGAGTTAAAAATCAATGGCTTTAATTTTCAGATTACAAAAGATTAAAGAATCCCTAAAAAGTTATTTGATGAACATGAAACCTGTCAAACTCCATAATTTATTTATTTATGCTCTTTGATTGTTTCTTGTCTTTTAAAGTAAATTAAAAGGAGCACATTTAGCCAAATGGTTAGTGATAGCAGTTTTCAAGAGCTCTTTAGGAACCTGGTGCAAAAGATAAACTAAAGTAACTAAAGGATTGTGAGTCATTTCATCTGGGTTTTAGGGTCTGCAATCTATTTGTTGTAAGTAAAAAAAATAAATGAATTTAAATGCAAGGCTCAGTTGGAGAGGTTTTTAAGATACA